ATATATACAGTTTTTTCTTTTTTTAGTACAAGATGATTGTTAGATGTGGCACACACCTATAATCCCAGCAGGGAGGCTGGAGCAGGAGGATCACAGTGAGTTTGAGGCCAGCCTGGGCTACATAGTGAGTTCAAGGCCATTCTGAACTACACAAGGAGACCCTGTCTCAAAAAAAAAAAGAAAAAAAAGAAAAAAGATGACCTTAAAGATCAGAGCATGCACTGAGATTTTCAAACTCTCCATTGCTGGAAGACCTTGTTTTCAAACACCTCACAGAGCTCAAATGCGCAGACGAAGAGGCAGAACAGGAGGCCTGGAGCCTGTACACTGTCCCCCTTGACTGAGGGCTTTAGGTCCTCAGAGAGCACACAGTTTGAAAATCACAGACCTAATCTGACATCCTGTGTGGTGGGATTCTCTCCATGGCTTGCTTTGCCTCTGCTGTCCCACCCAATTCAGCTTCTTTCCTGACAAAGGTGCGCTTACTTGTGTTGCATTTCAAAACCCTGGCAGCCAAGGGGGCCGATACACTGGAGAACGGAGGCCTTGCACCGGCCTGAGTCACTGGCCCTCCGCTCAAGCCTACCCACGGGGAAGACTGGGGATTGTGGGTATAATAAAAATAATGGCAAGAATAATGAGGCTGGGCGCAGTGGCGCACACTTATGATCCTAGCACTCTGGGAGGCTGAGGTAGGAGGAACACAGGTTCGAGCCCAGCCTGGGCAACTTAGAGACTTAGCAAGACCCTGTCTTACAATGAGACATTTTAAAAAGTGCTGGGGATGTAGCTCAGTGTGAAGGTCCTGATTTTAATGCCAAGTACAGAAACAAAAGCAAAAGTACTACCTTTAATTTGGTGTTAGGCGCTGCTCCTAGCACAGTGTACACATTGCTGCATAACCCCACCAAGAAGTGGTGAGAAAGCCATTTCCTCTTTTCTGGATGAGAAAACTAAGGCTAAAAAGTAATTTGGCCAAGGTCAAGTACCCAGTAATTGGCAGCGCTAGGAAGGGAAGGGCTGGGCATTCCTTTGGGGAGTGTGTGTGTGTGTGTGTGTGTGTGTGTGTGTGTGTGTGTGTGTTTTCTCCTTGTTCAGACCAAGCTGGGATCTTACCTGGTTCCATCGCTGGCAAGCGTTGGTTTGTTCTCTTGGTCGGGGCCTCAGTTTCCTCACTTGTCAGGTGACAAGTAGGAAGGTGAGGGCTGAGGGAACGGAGAGTTGGCCATGGTTGCTTTCACTGATTTTGCCCCCAACTTTTATCTGACACCTGTAATAAGTTAGGGCACCAGCATGGTCCCAGCTGATGGCCATGAATGTGATGAACAAGCTCCTAGGGTCCTGACCGCTGCCCTCTAGAGCACGGTGATATGGAGAGAAAAGTGAGTAAACCCAGTAGTGTAATGATAGCCATTTGAGCATCTCCTGTTTGCCACCAGCCCTTACAATATGGAGCCCAATATGGGCTGTCGTTCCCTTTACTTAATAAGGCCAGATATTCCTCGTGGCTTGTGCTTAGTAAAACAATTAGTGGCCAGCTTTCCTGTTTGTGTCTTCTTAATCTCCTCTGAGCACTTCTGACTTATGAACTGGGAAATTTAATTACACAGATGATTACAGGCTATCCGCAACCTACTAGATTAGAAGGCCAGATGGCATTCAGTTCAGCTCAAATACAGAATCCCCTCCTGGTACCTGAACTATCACTGACAGCAACAAAACAAAGAAATACACCAAATGAGCTTACAAAACCTAGAATATAGCACATGTATTTTTTTTGCTCAGGTGTGATGAGTTAAAATGTCCTGAGAGTCTTTCTGTTTATCTTCACCTTGGTTCTCATTAAATTTATTCTAACTAGCAATTTCAGGGATGAGCCTGCTTATACGTTTGTTGTTTCTTCCCCAGAACAATAGTTGAGTACATTACATTATAAGAATACATGAATTAAGCTTATGAATACATGAAGTTAAATGAGAACATGAGAGTAGAGTGACGTCTCACTTCTTCACCGTTGTGGCCCCTGGCTTAGCACGATGCTATGCGTCTAGGAGGCAGCCAGTGACTATGTGTTCCACGAGTGATTAATGTGCAGGACACCAGTCAGAAAATTTTCACTTCAAGTAACAATAGTTAAGGATGATTTCACCCTCATTAGGAAATATTTACTGAGTTTACCTTTGACCTGGCCTCTCGTGGGTGTTGTGGTTAGAAATATTATTTGAGTAAAACTCTGAAAAGAAATCTGGGATCATGTGTTGAAGGGAGTTTCTGCCTGGTGATTTTCTCTGTCTCAATAGATTTCCAGATTAAAGGGGAAGACAAGTGCCTCTGAAGATCTCTGAATCCTGGGTACCATGCTGTCCCTGGAGGTTTTCCAATTGACTGTGGGACTGGCCACTTTGTAGGCAGTGGGGATTTCAATTTATAAGGGGGTAGGGAACCAAGGAAACTTAAGAGCAGGTGGTGTGGTCCAGGGGAAGAACTCGGCAGGTGGATCTTTTGATAAGGACAAGCTCTGAGATGCCCATAACAAGGAAAGCTTTAATACTGGCCCACTACTCTTTCTCCTTGCCGTCTCAGCCTCCCATGCTCCTATTCTGAGAATCTCATTTTGCCGTGTGTTAATTTCCTCTTTCGGGGACTGTGGAAACAAAGCCCCTCCCAAGGTAGACACAGACTGGGGCCTTTTGCTGGCTATAAAATTACTGCTCTCCCTTTGCTCTTAGCTTTGTGACATTTGGTTCCCTGGTGTTGGTTGTACGGAGGGAGAATGACTTGCATTCTAAATCAACAGCAGTCAGCATCTGGTTGAGGAAGAGTGAATCCTGGTGGTCTCCAACTCACCGTATCTCAGGCTCAGCCAGAGAGAGAAAAATCAGAGCAAGGAGAGCTCTTCTCAGAAACCAGGAGATCTACTTTGGCCATTGCCTGCAGGGTTGTGGGGAAGTCCTCCCCCTACGCTTTATTTCTCTTACCTGCAAAATGAGAGCATGGCCTCAGCGGAATCCTTTAAACTTTTTAATCACTTAAACTTCAATCATTCATTCAAATGCTCGTGCTAGGGAAGGAGTGCAACCCTCCCACCTGTCCAGGGGCTCTTTTCTCATCTGGGTGAGGTGGCACCAGGAATCCCAGGAAGAGATGCCGAAACTCTTCCTAGCGGCCCAATCTTT